TCAGACCTAAACAGGCAGTCAGATAGCCCCCAAGGGGTCCCAGATTGGAGAGGGTGCATGCTGGGCTGAGGGATACCCCACACCCTACCAGTGCATGAATCCATGCACCAGGCCTCTAGTTGGTATATAAAAACGCCATCAATTTTTTGTTGTTAATTTTGTATCCTGCTACTTTGCCAAATTTATTTATTAATCTAGTAGGTTTTGTTCGTGTTTGGTGAAACCAAATTTATTTATTAATCTAGTAGGTTTTGTTCGTTTGTTTGGTGAAGAGTCTTTAGGGTTTTCTATGTACAATATCATGTCATCTCCAAATAATGACAATTTTACTTCCTCCTTCCCAATTTGGATTCCTATGCCTTTTTCTAGTCTGATTGCTGTGGGTAGGACTTCCAGTACTATGTTGAATAAACTAATTTTAATTATTCGTTAGGTAAAAATACAAACATTTAAAATTATGTATTACTTCACAATTATTTGATTGTGAAAAGATACATCATTGGTATATCATACTAACTTAAAACCAAAAAATATGTTTTATTATTTTGTGTGTGTGTCTATGCATTGTTTATTTATTTTTGCTCACCTCTTCACCTTGTTCACCAAGTCCTCCAATTCCCCTCCCCTAGTTCTGTCTAGATTCAGATGGTTTAGATGTAAATCTAGGCTTAGTGATTTTAACAAGCCATTACTATGCCTGTGCCTTAGTTTCTTTATTAAAGGAAATTTTAACAGTACTTAAATAAAATGAGATCACGCATGTAACCAGTGTCAATTACATGATGGTTGCTATTATTTTCCATTATAATAATAATTACTTCCCTGGATAAAAAAATTTAAAGACATAATTTATTCCTTTCAACTTTTAAATGACTAGTAAAAAGTATAAATTGGAATTTCTAGGTGGTAAATTCTCATCATAGATTTAAACTTAGAAACAGAAGCTAATGCAATCAGTTTTACTTGTGCGTGTGTGTGTGTGTCTGTGTGTGTGTGTGTGTGTGTGTGAAAATAGAAGTTTAATCAAGTTTTCTAAGGACTTAAGGAGGCTAGTTACTGTTTGAAGTAGGTGTGATTACACAACAGTAAAGAAAATGATGTTGCTTGATTACCTGACTGTGTAATCAAATGTTATTTCCCCAGAAGTTCCTATCATCAGATGATGTCTCGAAAGCATATGGAAAACTGAGAAAGGGGAAGAGGAAACCCAAGGAGCAAAGATACTCTCCTCCTGAGATCCCCCATCGCAAAAATGTCAAGAGGAACCTCTCTAGTGAATTCGCTAACTGTGAAGAGCAACCTGGGCCCCCTGTGGACCCCTGGGTCCTTCAAACACTTGGGTTAAAAGATCTCAACACCATTGATGATACTTTATCAGCTAACTACAGTGCCCTCGCCTCTCCTCCCAGGAGAATCACCAGCACATTTCCCCAGTTTCTGGAGGATGCAGTTGATTATGAAAAGGCCCCCACAGAGGATCTCCAAATTGACTATGGAGGTGAAAGCACCACTCCTTCCTGCAGCACTGCCAGCCCTGGGGAGGATTTTCACTTCCTTTCTCAACTTTCAAATCCCCCAGGAGGGCTGCAAACTCGTCCTTACTATGCTTCTGATGTGTCACCCAACAAGACTGAGATGGCCTTTTCCACATCCCTGAGCCCTCACTGTAATGTGAAAACTCATTCCTTCCACCAGGGACAAGCCTTTGTTCGTCGAGATGAAGAGGGGGGCTGGAAGTTTACCTGGGTTCCTAAACAGTCTTAGTGACTCCTCTCCTATCACAAAGGACTGCCCTGAACTCTGTTTACAAAGACCTCTCTTGCACTTGAACCTGACTCTGTGGAATGCAGAAGCTATTTCTCAGACTGCCTCCTGCCACTTTAAATGTCACTCTCAATTGCCCACTTAAATCTGCAGGGAATGGCTTGCAAGATTCTATCGTGAAACATGTCTGCTCTTCTTTCACCTAAATTTGACTTGCTTACACACCAACACCTGCTGTTGACTTCCTCCCAGCACTTGAAGAAGGTATTTTTCAATTGCCTGTATATTCCTTTGAGACCTACATTTGCTGTTCCAATTATAACAAATTTAACAGATTTTCTTCTTGCATCAAATGCTCACAGCTTCCACACTCTCACTTGTATTATAACAAATTTAACAGATTTTCTTCTTGCATCAGCAGTTTAAATGCTCACAGCTTCCACACTCTCACTTGTACCACTCTCCTGCTCCTCTTAACTTCTGAAAACTGCCTTTAGAAGGAGTACTATTGTTACTATAAGTACCTGTTACTGAGTGTTCAAGTAGCTGGGGGTGGGGTAGAAACAGTGTCTTTGCCCATCACCATGGCCTGAAGACATATGCAGATGTGAGTAATGTTATGTGTAGTGCAGTTTAGTAAGTTGTGTGTCCCAGGGTGGAGTTGACAAGGTCTCTTTAAACAGCTGTATCTCTGCTGATAAGCAATACCACAGATACATTAAAAAATTAAAGAGAATTAAAATTACCTCAAAATGTCCCAAGGGGTATCAGTCTCTATAGGCACCTGACATTGCCTCTTAAATGAATAATGGACCAAACAAGAACATTTTTGACGGACTTGTGATCACAAATCAAATTATCATCCTAATTACCCAGATGCTGACCAACATTTATTCCTGAAAACATAGGCTACCCTGGCTCTGCCTATATCTCATTCATTCATTTATTCATGTATTCATTCATTCATGTATTCATTTTTTTCATTCATTGATCCACCCAAAATATTTCTAGAACACCCACCATATAGCAAGCACTGTACTGTGTATGAGGTGATATTAAATATGAGCAAGTTAGACACC